TTTGGCTGTGTTGGCTCTTCGTTTCTGTGCGAGGGCTTTCTCTAGTTGCGGCAAGTGGGGGCCACTCCTCATCGCGGTGCGCGGGCCTCTCACTATTGCGGCCTCTCCCGTTGCGGAGCACAGGCTCCAGATGCGCAGGCTCAGTAATTGTGACTCACGGGGCTAGCTGCTCCGCGGCATGTGGGATCTTCCCAGACCAGGGCTCGAACCCGTGTCCTCTGCATTGGCAAGCAGACTCCCAACCACTGCGCCACCAGGGAAGCCCCGACAGTTTCTTAAAATAAGACTATAGTGAGGTTTGCCACGTTGATTGACTCTTCCTGTCATGAATCATTTCTCTGTAGCACACAGTGCTGTTGGACAGCATTTTACCCACAGTAGAACTTCTGTCACAATTAGAGTCGATCCTGTCAGACTCTGCTGCTGTTTTATCAACTAAATTTATGTAATATTCTAAATCCTTTGTTGTCATTTCAGCCATTTCCACAGTAGATTCCATCTCAAGAAACCACTGTCTTCACTCATTTATAAGAAGCACTCCTCATCTGTTAGTTTTATCATGAGATGTCAGGAATCCAGTCACACCTTCAGGGTCCACTTCTAATTCTAGTTCTCTTGCTGTTTCCACCACATCTGCAGTTACTTCCTCCACTGAAGTCTTGAACCCCTCAAAGTCATCCATGAGGGTTGGAAGGAACTTCTTCCAAACTCCTGTTAATGTTGATATTTTTATCTCTTCTGAATCACGAAAATTCTTAACAGCATCTAGAAGGGTAAATCCTTTCCAGAAGGTTTTCAATTTACTTTGCCCACAGATCCATCAGAGGAATCACTGTCTATGGTGGCTATAGCCTTATGAAATGTATTTCTTAATTAATAAGACCTGAAAGTCAGAATTAGTCCTTGATCCATTGGCTGCATAATGGATGTTTTGTTAGCAGGCATGAAAACAACATTAATCTCATTGTACATCTCCATCAGAGCTCTTGGGTGACCAGGTGCATTGTCAATGAGCAGTAATATTTTGAAAAAACAAAAAACTTTTTTCTGAGCAGTAGGTCTCCAGGGTGGGCTTAAAATAGTCATTGACCATGTTTTTTGTTTTGTTTTTTAAATTTATTATTTATTTTTGGCTGCTTTGGGTCTTCATTGCTGCTCATGCTTTCTCTAGTTGCGGTGAGCAGGGGCTACTCTTTATTGCAGTGCGCGGGCTTCTCATTGCGGTGGCTTCTCTTGCGGAGCACGGACTCTAGGTGGACTGGCTTCAGTAGTTGTGGCTCACGGGCTCTAGAGCGCAGGCTCAGTAGTTGGTGGCACATGGGTTTAGTTGCTCCACGACACATGGGATCTTCCTGGACCAGGGCTCAAACCCGTGTCCCCTGCATTGGCAGGTGGATTCTTAACCACTGCACCACCAGGGAAGCCCCTGACGTTGTTTTTTGTAAACAGATGTGCTGTTATCCAGGCTTTGTTGTTCCATTTATAGAGCACAGGCAGAGTAGATTTTAGCATAATTCTTAAGGGCCCCAGGATTTTCAGAATGGTGAATGGGCATTGGCTTCACCTTAAAGTCACCAGCTGTGTTATCCCATAACAAGAGAGTCACCCTGTCCTTTGAAATTTTGAAGCCAGGCATTGACTTCTCTCTAGCTATGAAAGTCCTAGAAGGAATCTTCTTCTAATATAAGGCTGTTTCATCAACATTGAAAATCTGTTGTTTAGTTAATTATCTTAGCTAGATCTGGATAACTTGCTGCAGCTTCTACATCAGCACTTGCTGCCTCACCTTGTACTTTCATGTCCTGGAGATGGCTTCTTTCCTTAAAGCTCATGAACCATCCTCTGCTAGCTTCAGACTTCATCCTGCAGCTTCCTTACTTCTGTCAGCCTTCATAGAATTGAAGAGAGTTAGAGTCTTGCTCTGGATTAAGCTTTGGCTTAAGGGAATGTTGTGGCTGGTTTGATCTTCTGTCCAGACCACTAAAACTTTATATCAGCAATAAGGTTGTTTTGCTTTCTTATCGTTTATGTGTTCACTGGAGTAGCTCTTTTAATTTCCTTCAAGGGCTTTTCCTTTGCATTCACAGCTTGGTTGGCTGCGGTGCAAGAAGCCTAGCTTTCGACCTGTCTTGGCTTTCACCATGCCTTCCTCACTAAGCTTAATCATTTCTAGCTTTTGATTTAAAGTGAGAGATGTGGGACTCTTCCTTTCACTTGAACACTTAGAGTCCACTGTAGGGTTATTTGTTGACCTCATATCAATATTGTGTTCCAGGGAGTAGAGAGAGGCCTGAGTAGAGGGAGAGAGACTGGGGAATGGCAGGTTGGGTGGAGCAGTCAGAACACACACAACATTTATTGATGAAGTTCACCATCTTGTATGGGTGCTATTCGTGGTGCCCCCAAAATGATTACAATAGCAACATCAAAGATCACTGATCACAGATCGCTTTAACAAATATAATAATGAAATAGTTTGGAAATATTGTGAGAATTCCAAAAATGTGACACAGAGACATGAAGGTGAGCAAATGTTGGAAAAATGGTGCCAATAGACTTGCTCAATGCAGGGTTGCACAAACCTTCAATTTGTTTTTTAAAAAAAAAGAAAATGCAGTTACCTGCAAAGTGCAATAAAGTGAAATTCAATAAAATGAGGTATACCTCCATGTGGCTGAAATGTTGATTTGTCAGCAAGGCCTTTCCTGACTCTCCTTGCTAAAAGAGGTACCTACCAGTTGGCCCCTGTCAATATCCTGATTGTTTCCTTTCTGGTGCTTGGGACTGTCTGCACTATGTTTGTCGGAAACTTGTCACTGTGGGACTCCTGCACTAGAATGTGAGTTTTCCAAAGGGCAGGGCTCCTGTGTTCTCTGTTCACTGCAGTTTTCCAGGCCCAGCATGCCCAGTGCTCAGCACGTTTGCTGATAGAAGGAGTGGCCTTTGTCTTCCAGGCGGCTGTGCATCCTGAAGGGCATTTATCCCCATGAACCCAAACACAAGAAGAAGGTCAACAAGGGCTCCACAGCAGCCCGAACCTTTTACCTTATCAAAGACATCAGATTCCTTCTCCATGAACCCATTGTCAACAAGTTCCGGGAGTATAAGGTGAGGCCTGGGCTCTAGGGTCTGGATGGGGCCCTTCCCAGCTCTATGCAGACCCACTAACACTGACCTTGGGCAAATTGTTTGATCTCTCTGAGCAAGCCTGTACATAGGGTGAGGTAATTCTACCTCAAAAGGGTGTCGGGGGGATTGACTGAGATCTTAGGTGTGAAAATCATTTACATAGAACCTGACCAATGATTAATGTGTTACCTGTCATACTTTTCCCCTGGTTCTTTTGGAGAAGGGTAAATGTATTGCCTCTGAGGCAAAGATTGTGGTCTTTCAGGGGCTCTCTGGTCTGCCCAAATAAACCACTCCTATTCAGGTTCTTTCTGGAATTGTTCCCAGGAGACCAAGCTTTTCATTCCTGAAATAGAAACAATTAAATACTGCAGGGAAAGTAGAAACCTAATTATACCAAATGCACATATTGAAAGTAGACTGCTGTTACTGTAGCCTTTGCCGAGCAGCAGGGCCAGGCTGTGGGGTACAGCTGCTGGCAGCCCTCTCGCCAAAGCCGGCCGAGGTGGGTGGCTGGACCTGTCCTGCTGCTAAGTTTTCCAGACACCTCAGCTCATTGCATTGGAACTGGGCCCCTTGTGGGACTGGCTGTCTCAGAGCTGCTGTTTACAGTCTCAGCGCAGGTGGCCTCTGAGCCTCTGAAGAAGTGCTCGGGGGAGGCAGTTGGTCAGTTTAGAGGACTTTCTGGGGCCACCATTGGCCTCAACTGCGTTTTCTCGTGTGGCCCAGCCCCACACGTGGGCCCGAGGCTCGTTTCACACACATGCGGACTGGTGTTTCTGGCCCAGCCTCCTGGCCCTGGTCTGTCTCACTTCTCAGTTGGAAAATATGGCTGAAAACGTTATACTTTCACGTAAACATGCGGAGTCAGCCCGTCTGAATGCTTATCCCTGTTCATCTGTCAGCGGGATGCAGTGGGGTGGCTGTGTCGTCAGTCTGGGTCAGGTTCGCTGCTCCGTGGAGGTGGCTGTTGCGCAAACCTCGGGCTGATGGGGCAGATCGTGCCGGCAGAGAGCCGTGGTCGGAGAGCCCTCCTGCCCCGAGCATCCCTCCTCCACGGAAGGGGTGTCCGGGAGCCGTTGGCCCCACATCAGCGGTCTCCTCTTCTCTCCCAGGTGTTCGTCCGGAAGCTGCGGAAGGCCTATGGGAAGAGTGAGTGGAACACGGTGGAGCGGCTGAAGGACAACAAGCCCAACTACAAGCTCGACCACATCGTCAAGGAGCGGTGAGCCGGGGGCTCTGACCTGGTGCTGGGGGTACAGTGGGGAACGGGGCCGAGACCCTGCTCACAGAGCTGGTGTCCTGTTGGAGGAGGGAGACCAGAAAACAAACTGGCAAGTTGTTCTAATGGTTGCAAGTCCACACGAGTGCCACGAGGGATGCTCTCCAGGAAGGGAGTTGGAGGACACATGTTAGTTACAGGCTTGTCAAAGGAGGTCTCTGCGGGGAGACAGTTGAGCCAGCCAGGGGAGGCATGGTTCAGGCAGAGCAAACAGCAAGTGCAAATGCTCTGTGGTGAGAGAGCCGGAGTCCTGGGGGTATGCGTGGGGTGCATGGTCAGTCCTGGAAGACGTGACTGGACACCTCTGATCTCAACTGTTTCTTGCCCATCCTTCTCAGCAGTCCCCGTCATTCGTTGACTAAATCATTGGGGACACTTGGCAATGTCTGGAGACACTTCTGCTTCTCCTGACTTGGATGGCAGGGGGTCTACTAGTATTTAATTAGTAGAGGCCAGGGTTGCTGCTCAGCACCCTGTAGTGCATAGGACAGCCCCCACGACACGGGACAACCTGGCCCACAATGTCAGTGGTGGTAAGGTGCAGAAACTCTGGGCTAACTGAATGTCTGCCTTCTCTTGGTGGCTGTTGGCCCTGGGAACACTTAGCTCCAGGCTGGATGGACTTGGCTTCATTGAGTCGGGCCAGCCATGGGCTAGCAGGGCAACAGCCTTGGCCTGGGAGCTCAACAGCAGGTGTTCTCACCCCAGCCCAGCGGCCACGAGCTGGGCAGTCCGCGAACTGCTCCTGCTCCGAGCAGGTCCCCCTCTAACAGAGAGATGACGCGTGTGACACAGCTGTCCTGTGGAACAAATGGGAAAAAAATGCGCAAGAAAAAAGCAAGTGTCTGGATTCATGTGCACACTAGATGGCAGTATGGTGGCGTTCCCATTCTGTGTCACCTCCTTCTCCTCAGCCCTTGCTTAAGAAAGAATGGCCAGTGCTGTTTCTAGGAAAGGCCCGGGTTGTTGGGTTTGTCTGTGAGGTGCAGAGCGAGGAAACTTCGAGGCACAAGAGGGGGCTGATTGAGTCTTTGGCCTCTGAACCAGGAAACCAAGTGCCTCTCTTGTTCTAAGAGGTCCCTGCGGACCTTTCTTCTGTTTTGTTCTGTGTCTGAAGACCTGGCTGGCCCCTCCTGACTCAGATTTCTCTGACCTCAGAGCCAAGTGGCACATCCTGGTTCCGTGGTTCCTCCAGAAGCTGTAGGGAGGTTGGCGCTGCCAGGCCCCAGGGCGTTGCCCAGCTCCCTGTTCAGGAGATGGCGGTGGCAGGGCCTGGGGTGGGGCAACGAGATCGGGGGCCCCTCAGAGCCCAGGCTGAGCGACCCTGTGAGCGCCGCCCACCTGGCCACGCAGGTACCCCACGTTCATAGATGCCCTGCGGGACCTGGACGACGCCCTCTCCATGTGCTTCCTCTTCTCCACCTTCCCACGGACCGGCAAGTGCCACGTGCACACCATCCAGCTGTGCCACCGGCTGGCCGTGGAGTTCATGCACTACGTCATCGCCGCCCGTGCCCTGCGCAAGGTGAGCCCGGGGCCACCCAATGGGGCCCAGCCCCCCGCCCCGCACCCCCATGTCCTCACCACGCTGTCCCCCCTCCACTGCAGGTCTTCCTGTCCATCAAAGGCATTTACTACCAGGCCGAGGTGCTGGGCCAGCCCATCGTGTGGATCACGCCCTACACCTTCTCCCACGATGTGAGTGTGCCCCCAGGGAAGGGTTGTACAGGGACCGTTGCTCCCTCTCTGCTTCCTAGGCAGAGAGAATGGTGTGGGTGAAGGGGGGCTCTTCCTGTCCTGCAGAACCAGCTGGGTTCCTGAGTGCCGGCCAGGGCGGTGGGTGGGGGTGTGGTACAGAATTGTAACAAGAGCCCGAGCCAGCCTGACTCCAGTACCTTCTAGCTGGTTGACCTTGGACGTGTTCCCTTACCTCTCTGTGCCCAGTTAATAACGTGCTTCCACCTTCTAAGCCTTGTTGTGAGGATTTGAGGGAAAAAAGCTTTAAAAGTGCCTGGTGCTTGGCCCTCGGGGGTTGCAGAACCAACAGTGAGCGGCCACCGGGGCCGAGCACTGCCTGTATACACAGCCCTGCCCTCCAACCTGCTGGGTGCTCACCCCGCTCTGCCACCCCCACTCCTGTGCCCCACCCAGAACTGGGGACTGGGTGAGATTGGCTTGGCGCCTGACTTATCCTCCTGTGGGCCCGCATTTGGCCTTGCTTCCTGCTTGTGCCTTGAGTGAGAACTGGTGCCTTCAATGGAGACTCAGCTGGATGGCAGGTTTGCTGGCCGGGCAGCGGGTGCTCGAGCATGAGCTGGTGGTCTGGGTCCCCTGGGCCACTGCTGATTACTCTGGGCTGGGGGCCACAGGCCGGAGCCCCCGCTGAGTGCAGAGCAGCAGTGACAATTGGTGGCAGCCTGTGGTCTTTGTGGGTGGGAGGTGCTCGGCCCTCAGCAGTCCCTGTGCCCACTCCCTGGGGCCAGACGTGTGTGCAAGTCTGGGCTCTTCCTTCTTCCCCTCTCTGTCGCTCCTCTCCTCTGTCCTTCCTGCCTTCTCTGCCCTGCCTTCCCTCCTTCCTCTCTGCCCCTCCCTCTCCTTCCTTCTCTCTGATGTCCCACCCCCTCACTGCTCAGACTGGTCTTTGTCCTGCCAGTGGTGAATAGGGCCCTGTGGAGGCCGGCCTCCACACAGCTGGCCCTGGAGGAACGGGGGAGGGCACGGGCCACCCCTTCCTCCTTCCTCTCTGGCCAGCTCACTGCCACTGCTTCCTCTCAGCAAGATGATGGGGGAACCAGCCCTGGGTCATAGTTGGGGCCCCTGTGCAACCAGTGCTGGGCTCCTGGCAGCAGGACCCAGGCAGGTAGTGGGGCCCAGGGGGCTGCTGTGCTGTGGGGCAGTCACTGCTCATGTGCTCCCAGGCCCGTCGAAGGCCCTGGTGGATGCTCATGGAAGGACTGATGTATCAGTGGGGGACAGGTGGGGCACCTCTTGGCCCCTTTACCCCCACAGCCCAGTCACTGCCTGTTGGCAGGATGTAGAAACAGCTCAGCGTCACAGGCGCACAGGCACAGAAGGGATGCTGTGATCATTACTGATTTCATCATCGCTTGGCGTATCCCCCTGTCCAGGTCTCAGAAGTCGGCCAGGCTGGCCTGGCCTCTCTGGTATGCCAGGCAGTGCTGCTCAAGGGTCAAGGCACTTTGGTTTGGGTCTCAGATCCTTGCCCATTTTTGTTTTATCAACTCCTCAAGGTTTAAGACGAGCCCTCCCGTGTCCCCCACTTGCTCTGTGTTTTTGCCCCAAGCAGGCAGCATTTCTCAGGAGCTCCCTGGGGCTGTGCCAGGCAGCTGCCCAGCCTGTCCTGGGTCCTCGGGTTGTGCCTTTGTCTCCGGCTCAGGCCCGAGGCAGGGTTGCTGAATTCTGAGTATCTGTCCGAAGGCTCCTGCCAGGGCTCGTAGGCACTGAGTGCCGCCCGCCCACTACCCCCACCCAGGCAGATGGGCTGATCCAGGGCCACCTTTCCCAGCCAGGCCCCCAGGTGCTCATGTGCTGGCCCCAGAAAAGACGGTAAATGGAAATTACAGGATGGCTAAGGGAGCAGGCGTGAGCGGCCTCTGCAAGAACAGAAGTCTGCCTTGCAGGGTGAAGGGGAGAGCTGGGGCAGGGAGCAGGGGCACCAGCCTGTCCTGGGAACCTCGTAACAAAGGCTTCCCTCTTCTCACTCCTAGCATCCCCTTTATGGCACGGGGATCTGGCACTGGCCTCCAGGACAAGCCTTGGGACCCTTGTCCAGAGCCTCACTGGTGCCCAGAATGCTCCTGGGTAGGGCCATGCCACACAGCCGCTTCTCCTGGGGCAGAGCTCCGAAGGCGGGGCCACCCTGGAGGAGCTTCTGATCCTTGGGCACCTGGAGCCCCCACCCCACATGGGTTGTCAGTGCCATCTTTGCACTGACACTGCTGATGTGTCTCTGTGTCCCCAGCACCCAACAGACGTGGACTACAGGGTCATGGCCACCTTCACCGAGTTCTACACTACCCTGCTGGGGTTTGTCAACTTCCGCCTCTACCAGTCGCTTAACCTGCACTACCCTCCCAAGGTAGGCCCCGGCCCAGCCCAGCACCTTCTCCTCACCGGGCAGAGACCACGGCCTCTCTCCCCACGTGGAGGTGGGGCTAGGGGCATCCTCTTCCTCTGACCTTCCCCTTGCCTCCCAGCTTGAGGGTCAGGCCCATGCAGAAGCGAAGGCCAGCGAGGACACCTACGCTTTGGACTCCGAGAGCTCTATGGAGGTGAGAGAGGCTTCCAGCGTTGGCCCTGCATCCCCCAGAAGGGTGGTTCCTGTTTCCTGGGGGTGGAGGCAGTCATGGCTAGATAGGTGGTCTCAGGGCTTACCCTCAGAACCCAAACCCACTGATACCCGGCCAAGAACTGCCAGCGCTACCCCTCCCCACCCACAAGCAGCATCCCTGAAAACCTGCTTTCCCACAGAAACTGGCCTCTCTCAGTGCCAGTCTGGCCCGTGTGGTGGTGCCTGTGGAGGAGGAGGAAGCCGAGGTGGATGAGTTTCCTGGTGATGGGGGGGGGAGGGC